GATATTTGAGGATTTCTGTTTAAGGTGTCCCTGTGATGGGTTAGAAAATAGCATACTCACATGTTTGAGTGCTGGTCAAAAGACTTGGATTTTGATGTTAGTTCCAGTCAATGATTTACTATGTAAATTCAAATGATCTGCTCTGCTTTCTTATTCTCAACTTCCTCATCTTTTCCCATCTGTTCCCAATAATAACAATAATAATAATAATGGTAAAAAGTCCTTGTGCATTATCGTCTCTTTTAATTCTCATGGATTTGATAGGATTTTTATGCCTTTTTTATACAGAAAGAAACTGAAACATAAAAATGTACCTAGGACTACTCACCCAGTTATCTTCTAACTCTAGTCTGTCTGATTCAACCCTCTTAACCAAGAAACTCTATAGACTCCTCAGCCTGCAGCAGTCACCATCAGCACTCCCCCAGCTGTATAGTGGAGGCAAAGAGAAAAGTTAACATGAAAGTAATCAAAGAATAATAAATAATAACATGGGTGGTAATAATTACCATTTATTAAGTACTTTATATGGTCTTTGGATATATTGTTTCAATTAATTAGTCATAATAATCCTGTGAAGAAACCATTGCTATTATTGCCATTTTTAAAAATTTTATTATTACCATTTTAAATTTGAGAGAACTGAGCTTTAAAAGTTATTTAATCAGCAAGTTACATAACTAAAATATCATTTATTTGATCCTAAAGCCAATGCTTGCTTAATGCACCAAACCACACTCCAGAGTCATTTAGGTAGGAAAAATAATCTTGAAGTTAGGATACTCCTATGTTGATAGAAGATTTTGTTATTTTCATAACTATAATTCCTTGTTAAAACTTTTTTTTCCTAAAATTCTAAAGATATGAGAGATGACAGCAGTGAAATAAATTTAAGCCTTCTGAAAGATGAACACTTTCAAGCAACAAAGCATTGTTCTGTGATCTAGCCCATATCTGCATAGTCTACACAGGCAATGCACAATAGAAAGTTGAGCTTTTGTCAAAGGAAAGGAAGTCTTCTCTCAGGTTCTGTTGCAGAGCTTAGGTATGGGCCAGCCTGGGTCATAGAGGCAACAGGGTGTCATATGTAAGGACAATATGAGGGGTGTCAAAAAGTACCTCCACTTCCACCAGCTCTGGCCTTTTGCAGATATGATCTCTTTATAACAACCACTGAGAATCATTTTAAACTTTTTGAATAAACCAACTAGTTCAAATCCTGCTGCTACCATCACTAGCAATGTAAGCTTGAACAGGTTACTCTATGCCTTAGCTTTCTAATTCATAAAATGAGAAAACTAATAGTGTCTCCTGTGTAGGGGTGATTTTAGGATTGAATGAACTAATACATGTAAATCCCTTAGAAGAATGACAGTACATAGTAAACATCCAACAACCATTAGATGTGATTGTTCTTTTCTGTAAGTTTATCTTTATCTTTCTAGAACATTCTTTGCAAAGTAAAGATTCTCTTATCAAGTGTCAAATGACATGTGCACATGATTATTCATTCAGTATTATAAAAGATTGGAAAACCTAAATTATGTCATTTAATTTCATAAATTATGGTATTCAACACTGAATGCTAACTAGCTATAAAAAGAATTAATAAACTTTTTATGACATATGAAATTACCCCAAGATATGGTTTGAAATAAACAAAAATATGCAGAATTGTGTTATATTATGCTACCATTGATAGAAGAAAAAAAGTACAATTAGGTACAATTCAATATTTGTACCTAATGTGTTTAGTATTTTTATATATGCAGAAAAAATATCTGGTAACTAATAAACTAAAAGTTAAAAAGTGGCTTCCATTTGGAAAGTGGGAACTGGGCAGGTAAAGGTTAGGGGTAGGAGGATGACTTTCATGCTATATATTTTTGTTTCTTAAATATTTTAAACCAAGTCTCTTCCTTGACTAACCAACTCTGTTTTGTTAAAGTTTGTTTTTATCATCAGCATTATTATTATTTCTTCATCATCATCATTTTATGCATGGAAGAAGAAATCCCAGAAAGTTTTAACTGGAGAAAAATGAAAAGAAAAAAATCAAGAGAAGAGATGTTAAGAAACAGTTGCCAAAACACACACTTCATAATTTTTTGAAAAGTTGGTAGATCCACTTAAATTTTGGATAATTGTCCATCTTCCTATGGTCCACCTCTCTGTGATTTGAAACCTTAGATTTCTGTTAACGGAAAGATGTTTTTTTTCTCAACTACAATTGATGGTGTGAGTGGCAGAGATCAGTGCTTCTATGCTATTTAGTTTAGACCTTCGAATCTTCTGGCAAGATCAGTTGAAATATAGGATGGGTAAATCTTCTTGATAGGCAGGCCTGTACTCTGCTGGCTGTCCACAGGACTTAAAAGTTCAAGAAAATTTATAGACGAGAGTGAAAAAACAAACCTCGAAAGACAGACAAAACAACACAATATCTAACAAGGATCACAGCTTTATTTCTGCTAAAAAAATAAAAAAAGAAAGAAAGAAAAAAAAAGAAAAAGGTAAAAGGTTTATTTTGTTGTTTTGTTTTGTTTTGTTTACAAAAAGTTTAACAATTGCTTTGCTTTATCTGATAAAGTTCTCAGAAAAATGAAACCATCCTGGGTTGGAGAGTAGGCTCTTTCCAATTATACTGCATTCCCAAATTTTAATTCAACTATAAAGTACTTCTAAATGATCCAGGGAGACCTGGTTCATAGGAATCATACTCCTCCAAAGCATAAACAAAGGATTCCCCAAAAATAACTGGTTCATCTTAGAGTGAAGGAAAAAATTCTAGAAATATTAACTTGCATAGCCGTTCAAATTATTGCTGCTTTTTATAAAATCATTGCAGGTAATTCTGCACTAACATTCTATTTTCCTCTCACTCCAAAACTCAAGAATCCCCAGCAAAATTATACGCTACTTTCCAAATGAAGCCTCAGGAAGGTTTTGTAAGCACATGTATTGAACCCAAGGAATTTGCATGAAAGGAATGGAGAAATAAATTAAATAAATAATATCTAATAAATAACTCATACAACATTCATTATCTACAAACTTAAATGCCAGAAAATGCTAGTTTCAAGGATAGATTCCCCCCACAGCCTCTCACAAAGATAAGTGCTAGTACAGATTCAGAAAACACATAGGATGGCTTTATAAATCACTCTGCTTCCCTACCTATTTCCTCTAGAACAAATTGTGGTGAGGGGGACCACTTTGGTGGCTGGTGGGGTTTAAGAGCTCTTTGCAAGGGTAGTTCATGTGGATTTATAAACCAAAGTTGCAAAATACAGCAAGGTTGGTGCTACAGGCAAAATGGAAAGAAAATAACAGACCAAAAGGAGATAATAAATAAGAGAGTAAAGAAGACAAGATACACAGATAGTTTGGCAGGTTTTAGGGTATAGCTGAGCTGTAGAAAATGACACATTAATCTGCCTTATCATTTTTATTCATTGGCCCTATTTGTGTACCATGCATCCTAAACTTATCCTCTCTGGCAGGAGTAGGATGTGATCCACTATCACATAAACCATTTAGGCTTTTAGTTTGTTTTAAATAATTGTCCTGGCAGAATGAACGTGACTGTAAAATTTCTCAGATCGCATTTCTCTGAAAAAAAAAAATACATTTGACAAAATTAGTGCTGATATAAAGGAAAAAGGAGTTACATGAAGAAAAATAAACATCCTGCAAATCAGGATAAACCTATGATAAAGATATAAATTGGTAAAAGCATTCAGTGACCTTGGATTTAATTTCTACATCCCTAAGTCTGGTCACTTGAAATATTATCTACAATTTGCAATAATGTAATAATATATTTTAAAAGTGAGGAATAGGTAACAATTAGTGGGGGAGGAGACACAAAATTGTATATTAAAGTTTGTCAATAAATTCACACTTGTGCTTCTAGAAACATAATATTGGTGTGATAGAGGTCAGTGGTTTTAATCATTTTTTAATCAAATAAAATTCATCTTGCCAAAGAAACTCTAGTGGTTTTCCTATGTCCAAGTGTGAGCTAGAGAGAGTCCCCAAACTATGGTTAGTTAGTATAGACAAGAGTCATTTTATTGCTCTTGAACGTGACCTGGGTTGTTCGCCAATTTCAATTTCACCTGAGCTTCATGAGAATTTTCAGAGCCCTCTAGATATAGAGGCCAAGAAACGGTCTAGATGACTTCTCTCAGTCTCACTGGTCATAGGAGTCTGAGGTTTCAGTGACTTGCTCGTCCCCACCTCTAGTACTAAGAAAAGTGCTTGTGAAATGTTATCAAGAATCAACTTGGTATGAGATCTCTATTATGGTTCTCAAATTACTAAGGAAGATATGTTCAGCTTTCTGCCCAACAAGAAGTAGAGTTAATCTCTTAAAGAACATGCTTTGTTATTCAAAGTGACAGTCAACTTAGAATTTTAGCCTCTGGAGGCTATTTTTAGATAGATGCAAAGAAGTCCTATCATTAAGTCCCCCAGACGTGCACCTGGTGCTCCTTTGGCAGCTCCATCGGATCATTCCACACATAGTGTCCATTTCCTAATTATTCTTCAATCCTTTCAGTTTTAAGAAGTTTATAGGACTTGTCACCAAAGTTATGGAATTTCAGAACTGTGAAGAACTTCAGAAATCATCTAGACTTAGAACAATTGCCTGATTTTACCAGTAAGTAAACAGAGGCCAGAAATGGAAAATTACTTGGCATAGATCATTCAGTAAGTTTTTGGCACCACTCGAGTACGACCCAGGGCTTCTGTTCTATTTCCACATGATTGTAAACAATCAAATGATTTCACTTGAGAGCACTAAACAAAGGAATCAATACAATATAGAGAAGATGATGAGAAAAGTGTGACATGTAGGAGGGCCTACATAGACTGGGACTCTTATGTTTGATATACATCTATAGGGTTCCTTTAAGGTCATTGGATTTCAGCTCAGTCATTTAAATTATGGGAAGCATCTCCACATCATCCTCTGAAATGCTGGTATTACTGCCCTAATCGGTGAAGATTGTATTGAGTTGAGCCCCAATGCTATGGTGGGAGTAGGAATCATAGGACATATCTATGGGAACATCATAGCGAGGGGTACCAGCCTGAAAAGGAGTTGAATGCACATGCCCTGAACTTAGACTTGCGGAAGGGTAATGTGGCATGAGGTTGTAGGATTTATCCAGGTCAGGAGAGCCATCTTGCTTCAAGGAGAAGTTCCCACTGACGCTCAGGGGTGGAGTAAGAGGGCCCTCATAAGGCGGTGTGCTGCAGTCAGGTGGATGACTCCCAAAAGATGGTTCTCCCAAACTCTTGAATACTGAGGGTTTGAGATTAATAAGATGTGTTTCCATATGGCCATAAGGAGGGCTGGGGAGCCCAGGAGACTGATAGTTGAAGTTGTGGACAGAGATGGCAGAGTCACGAATAGGAGGTTTCTCCTCATGCTTCTCCAAGAGGACAGACTGAGGGCCCAGTTGGAGGCATCCGGCCACCAGGTTGCTTGTGGGCTGAGAAAGCCCTTTACAGAGCATCTCCACAAAGCCCTTCCCTTCCGGTGTCTGGCCAGTTTCCAGGACCTCAGACAAAGCCCAAATGTAGTTCCTGGCCAATCTAAGGGTCTCTATCTTGGAGAGCTTTTGGGTCTTAGAGTAACACGGCATGACTCTCCTCAGGTTGTCCAGGGCATCATTCAGGCCGTGCATCCGAGTCCGTTCTCTAGCATTTGCCTTGACTCGTCGAGCCCTAAATCTCTCAAGGCGAGCTTTTGTCATCTTCTTTTTCTTGGGACCCCTTCTCCTAGGCTTCTCCCCATCCACTTCCTCCTCTTCTTCTTCCTCAATGCTATCATGCTCTTCAGCTAAGCTGCCAAGCATCCCATAGGCAGCTGGTCTTCTCTCCTCCTCCTTCATCTCATTCTGAGAGCCCAGACCTTTGTCCATCCACGACGGTGTGTTGACCAACTCTGTCATCTCCTTGGGTTTCACATAAGTTTTTGCCATTTCCAGATTCTGGAAAGGGAAACAGCAATGTTTAGCACCTGTGAATATCCAATTTGATTTAAAACTAAACTTTTTTTTGATATCTTAGAAAGCACAGCATTTGTATTGAGATTTGATTTATAATTATCTACTCCAAGTCCTCCATTCTAAATAACTAATCAAAGACTCAGATATATGCCTCGGATTCTCATTTGGCTACGACATATTATAAGAAAATCAACTATAGAAAAAGGAAATTTACTTGATGATTCATTGCAATGTCAATGCCTAATTCTTTTTATTCTCAGATTCTTTACTTCATGGATACTTTACTCAAAAATATCCAGTCAAAACTTATTTGTCTAAATAGAGAAACTTTTGTAAGTAAAAAAGGATGCTAAAGTAATTATAATTATACAATATGTGTACAATTGCAAAATTTTAAAAAGATATCAAAAAATAAAATAAGTAAAATGTTGTATATTTACACCATAAAATAAATGAAAAACTACAGTGAGATTATTCAGAATACTTTGTATGTGTCCTACAAAGGACTGCTCAGCCTCTATTTAGAGACATATCACATACATTTAACCTATAACATCCCACATTTTTCACCGACTCTGCCAACTGTTGGTTTCAAGCGTCTCCTAGGAAAGAGCCACTACTGGTTGATACACCACATGACCATGAAATCATTCTCTCACCATCATCAGAAGAGCACTTTGTTTTTCAGCAAGCATTTGTGGTCTATCTAATGTTAGTGATGTTAGAGGTGTTAGTGACATGGTGTCAAAAAAGGATTAGGAAAAGAGAGGAGGGTTACCACTGATCATCTTTCAAGTTCGCCCACATGTTAAAGTGAGAACACTTTTCATTGCACGTGCATCTCACACCATCAGAATATGACAGCAGTTAGAATTACAAATCAGAGGTCTACCAAACCTATTTAAGATTAGTTTAGTGCAACCATTATAATGCTTCATTAAAAATAAAAAATCTGGAACAAATACTAAACTCAACATAGTGACTGCAAACACTAAGCGAAGACTATTTTAGACAAACAAGGAAATAGCCTAATTTACTTAACAGGGTCTGTTTAATCAGAATTTTTTATGAAAAAAATTATAATTTGAAAACCAGAAGATACTGATGTTTTAGTAAATATTTTTCATTTATTTCTGAAAGAGGCTGAATTGTTTTGAGATTTGTTGAGTGATTTTTAGGTATATAATTTACCAAATAAAAGTATCTGATAAGCTCCATTAGGGCATCCCAGTTTACTAGCTAGTCTTTGAAATGCTAAGCACTCCATCGCCTTCATATATCAGAAAGGGGAGAGCAAGGTAAATGTTTTTTAATCCTTGGAGCTAGAGCCTCAAATCAATGAACACAAGGATTAGTACATAGCTTTCAAAAATATAAATATATTATTTGATTTGTTTCTGGTAATCTGAGCTTGTTTTCCTTGTAACCTCGTTTACCTCCTATAAATAATTAATGTTACTGCTTTGCAAAAACAGCCTAGGTTTCATGTTAATCAGCACGGAAATCATGTCATCTTGACTTACTCACTTAATAAGGCTTCCTGGGTAAGCAGTTTTATTGAAAATGCACGTTGGAACCTATTGGTCAACTGGCTGCCGAGGCCAAGTCAGAAAATCCCACTCTTAATATGGATGATGGAGCTTGTGTGCTGAGCTGCACTTCTAACTCAGGCAGATATCCAGAGGGAGGGTGAAGGACCTAATTAACTTTCTTTTAAAGTAACACAGACCTTTCAGAGGCAGGTGCACTCTGAGACCAAAGAGGATGGAGTGGGCTTGGGAAACCTAATGTTCACACACGTAATTATAATTATGTTTGAGTAGTCCTATAGCAAACCTTTGAGGGAAATAGGGATTGTTATGTTCATTTTATAGTTAAGGCCACTGTGGGTCAGGTAGATTCACTGATGGAAATGCAAAGACATAGAGCTTGTAGAGCAGGATGTAAAGCCAGTTCTGATTCTAAATTCTAGGTTGTTTTTTTTTTTTTCCTCTCTTTCTTCTTCCATCACAGATATAGGAAGAAAGAAAGGCACTTTGACTTCAGGAGGTGTGGATTAGCAGAGCTAAGTCACCAGGAAGTGGTCATCATCCAAAGGGAGCTGGTTTAGATGGTCTCTGTAGTGTCTTTTAACTCTCATATTCCAGGATTTCTTCCTCTTCCAAATTTTTTTCTTGTTGCTTTTACCCATTTATCCTCCCTCCTTCTCTTACTCTGTTCCCTTTTTCTCTTTCTTCTCTCTCATCTCCTCTTCATCATCATTATCACTGGGACATACTTAAGAGGGAGGGAGAGAAGGAAGATGCAAGAGAGGAAAAGAGAGTCTTCTAAATTGCCCCTGAAACTGGACCCCATCCTAACCTCTGAGTTGACCTTTTTTAAAAAAAAAAAACTTCACCTCCCTACCTCTGGACTCTAGCCAAGCTCTGTCAAGTTTCACCCCATCAAGAAGTAGGATCAGGAGTTATTGATCTCAAACACATAAGCTCTCTGATCTTCCATTTCCTCTTTGATAAAATAAGGATAAGATATATACATGGTCCTTGCAAAACAAATGAAAATATGAGAAAGGATTTTTGTAAACTTCAAGTGCTATCAAACATCCATATATTTATCTTGTGTTTATTCTTGAATTTTCTTATATAATCCATTTACACATGTTTGCATATTCAAAAATTTTTTTAAATGTAAAAATTTAAAAAAATTTTTTTTAATGTAAAAATTTTTAAAATTTTTTTTAAATTTTTTACTCACAGGTGAAGAGTAAAAGTAGATTGTATTAATTACTGTGCCTCTTATGATCTGGATGGAACCTCTTCTGGTTGGCTCAAAAGATCATCTGACAACTTCCCAAGAGCCCACCCTTTTTCCCAATGTATCTAGACAGCACAGACTCTAGAGTCAGATGGCTTGAGTTCAAATTTCAGCTGGATTACTTACTAAATGTGTGACATTAGACGAGTTTCATAATCTTTTTGTGCCTCAGTCTCTTCCTCTTCAACGTAGGAATAACAGTTCTACCTCATAGGAGTATTGTGAGCATAAAATGAACTAACACAGTTAAAGACTTTCAATAGCACTGGACATCATAAATACCATGTGTTAGATATATTTTTTCCTAAAGTTCACCATGAATTTTTCTGGCCACATGGACAGAAATGGGTAAAATTACAATCTGTGCTTAGTATTGATTTTATGCCAATAAAAGTCTGTTTCATCTCAACTCCCACTTCAGAAAATTCCCTGAAAAACTCACTCCCCAATCTCCTAATGAAATTAAATATCAAAGCTCCTATTATGTTGCAAGGGGTGAGGAAACAGAACTCTATCAGCTGCCTCTACTGGATTAATTAAAACTCTTCCGCCATATTCAAGACGGAAGTTAGCCTCTTTCATTCTGTTTTGTAATTGTGCAACAGCATTTGGCTGGACACTCCTACTTGGTTACATGACTCTTCAGGTTCATGAAGTTTCCGGTGGAATACAGACAACCATTGGCACTTGGACATTTTTCCTTTTGTCTTTGATTAAACAATATGGGGGATATAACTTTCTTACCAAAATCAAGTTCCAGAGCTCTGAAAAGAAAAATGAAGTGTTTCTTAAATAGAAGTAAAAGCCAGGACTCTTCAAGGACAAAGAAAAAAACTTTTCTTCGACCTTTTTCGCCTAAATATCTTCAGTGCATCAAAAGATTAACAGGGCATGAGGGGGAGACAAACATCCAGTTTTATATTTAAGAGTTGAAAATGTGTGTGGAGCAGTTCTGAGTTTTGGTCAAGGAAACCAGATTGGTTTTCTCCAGAACAGGTACCTGATTCTACCATCACTTTTAGCCTGTTAATGAACCAGCTCAGAGTTGTATTAAAAGAAACATGAAACTGAAACGCTCTTCTATCATTCACTTATTAAATGAGAATAGAAATTTTATTTTAATTCTTTTACCCTTAGGGCAAAATGGAAATAATATTTTTGTCTGTCATATCTCATCTAGAAGCTTTTATGAAAATACAAGCACGAGTTCTTTATAAAGTTATTGTGCAAATGTAAGAGTTGGCAATTGTTTTATAGAAATAGTATGAAGAAACCTACAGCACTCTTTCACGAAGTATTGTGATATATCATTTTTAGGTTTCTCCATTCCTGGAAAATAAATTAGCTTTCAAAATATATGTGAAGCAGATTCCAGTATGACAAAAATCAATGAATTCTGGCTTCGGAGGCAGAATACGGACCCCTAACACACACCCAAAACACATTCTGATCATATAAAGCCCATTTTATTCTTTATTCTTAGAATTTGGATTTCTTTTTGCATTTACACAATATAACAGAATTTTCCTCTTTCTTTAGAATCATTTCTCGAAATTTCAAGTTCCGCCAATTACCTCAAATTTGAAATTTTCTCCCACTTTTTTTTCATTTTTTTAACCTGTTCTAGCAAAATATTTGCTTAGGCAATGATTGTAACTACCAATATTTTCATTACTATGGCTGAGGTGATTGGGCATTACTATCATGTGGAGCTGTCCTGGAATTTGCCCTACAGTTTTACTAATTTTTGATTGTTGTTTCAATTGATAAATAAGTAGGTAGGAAGCACTTGCATGTGTATTTGTGGTGAGTACACAGTGTCCTTCCTCTTAAAAGCTGATTGTACTCTCTTTACCACCTGATACTATGACTAAATCCTAAGTACAACCAGAAGAGGAATATTTGCCCAGTTTCTAGGGAATCTAAAGACCAGACAGACTAAACACCTTGCTCAGAGTTGCAGAATCTTTGCACTGAAAGGACAGAATGCAGACCAGAATGCTCACAAGTTGCATTGCCTGGAAATAGCCTGTAGACTGTTCTGTGCTCTTTCTATACAGGCTTTTATACTTTATCACTTTCCTTCTTGATTAATACCTACACACACACACACACACACACACACACACACGCACACACACACACACACACACATCTTATCCAGCATAGTCATGTTATTCTTCAGTTTTCATAGCTTTAGACCCTAATGGTGAACTTTGCAAACAAGTTACTCAATCCTTCAGTTTTCCTTCCTTCTTCTTCGGCATTTCATTCTGGTCCCTGTGTCCAAAAGTGAGGGAGGCAATTTACATTTATTATAATTTTTCTGAATACATTTTTTTTTGTTGTCAGAGGAATGATGTCTAAGAGGAAGAGGCAAAAATATACATGGACAACCTTTCTCTTCTGATTTTCGATATGAAAGAGTTGAAGAAAAGGAAAATTTCCCCACTCCATTCCAACTATTTAAGGATTTTTTAGCAAACCAAATGGGGAGGAATGGTGAGAATCACCCCATGGCTTTTCAGCATCTCCTCTCATTCCCTTTTCATTCCCCTTCTTCCCCCTCCACTTCTTGCATAGCCCTAAATGTTATGAGCAGAAGGGTAGATTGAGCCAATTCTTCCAATCTACTTGCTGAGTCACCTAGAAAAAGCGGTTAAACTTTTTGGAAATTTTTTTCTACATTAATAAAATGGAGGAGTGGGTTTGACAGGAGTGGGGAGGGTGAATAACTAACTTGTAATCTCTACTCTATAAAAATGAGAGTATCAGTTTCACTTTGAGTGACAGGCACTATGGGAATTAGTAAAATTATTAAAATTTTAATGTCTGTTTCTAAGTATTCTGACACTCTTCTTCTCTATTTAAGTTTCCTAAATTCTACTCCCTCCTCACTTAGTCCATAAGAGACTTACCTCACCCCAACTGCTCCTCTAGGTCTGTGGGAACTTCCCACAGAAACTTCAGTAGTCCCGGTACCACCTCATGCGCTGGCTCACCTCTGTCAGTGGCAGTCCCTGGTGTGAACTCTGTGAACCTGTGTCCTGGAGGAGGCTGAGAGAAGCCAAGTCTATCTGATCATCCAGATCATAGGAGAAAGAGGTGCTTTTAGCGATCCATGTTAATTAAACCTGGCCAGTGCCTCTTAGGAATGCCAGCGGGTCTGGTTTCTCTAACTGCTACTTATTCTACTCCTTCCTTGGAGTTCTGCCTGCTCCCCCAGGACGACTTCGGGCTGATCCCCAGTTGCAGCTGGTTTAATCGGTCTTCAGTATCTCCTTTCCCTGGTTAGTTCCCGGAGTGGAGCTTTCAGGACCACAGCCTCTGGGCAGCTCCTGCGCTCTGGCCGGAGCCACTGAGTTGCTGCAGTTTTGATTGCTTTCCCAGCTGACCAGGGAGGGGTGATGCTGCCCTCAGTCTAACTCCTCCCCTTCCCCAGCCGAAAGACACACCTACTTCAAAGGGCTCCTCTGACTAGGTCCAGCTCAGCCATTCTTTTATTTGTTTGTTCGTTTGTTTGTTTAAGAGGGGATAGAGATTGGTAGAAGGGGAATATGAGAGGTTAGCTGCTGAAGTTAAGAGGTAAAGAAAAAGAGGACTGGAAGTCTTTGTGGTTAAAAGATAAGAAATGGGAATGTAACAATGTGGACAGAATGGGAAAAGGAAATTGGAAATAGACTTGGAGAAACAGCTAAGAAGGACAAATAAAAATGCTGGCCCACATTTGAAGAATCAAAATTTGAGAAGGATGCATGCCCAGGATACAGAAACACTGAGTGTTCTGTTACACATGTGGATTGGTGTCTTTGGGTATAAAACCAGAATTCTAAAAGTAGAAGGAAGTAACTTCCTCTCCCTTCTTTTCATCCTGTCAAATTATTCCCATTTAAAATCTTTTGATTTTAATTAGTGAATATAGACAAAGTCGTATCTATAGTTGTTGTACTGTTCTTTCAACTTTTCTGTTTGTTTGAAATTTATAAAAAGAAAAAGTAAGTGAATGAAATCTTTCATTTTAAGGACACTTAGCTCCTCGAATTACAAACCGGGATCTACTATTGTTTTTCAGAAATATATAGTTAAGCATTCAGGTAGAAAAAGTCAACCTGAGTGGTAATGAATTTGAAATGAAAGAAGGGTCACATAATTCCGAAAATGCCTGTGGTATTATGAAATAAGATTAACTTACTAAAAGAGAAAAAGGGGAAGTACATCTGGAAAGACTTAAGGAAAATACACAGATATGCTTTATGACAGAGAACTGTGGACCAGGCTACCACAGCGAAAGTGTGGAGTCTTCACTTTACAGATCGTCAAACACTGCCTTATGTAAAACTTGGCCAAGATCAAATAAATAATTGTGAGTTTATTTTTAAATGTAAAGAATTTTGTTATCTTCTAGTGATTCCAAGGAAGAAAGGAAAGTATAATTGGGTTAAGCAATTGACTGAATGATCTCTAGTAATTCAACTTCACTTCCAACATCAGTTTTCACATCTGTAAAATGATCTAATCACTTGAGTTTTTGCCATAGTAGTAAGATAAAATTCTGGATCCAAACTCAATCTCTGTTTGAAATTGACTTGAAGGAAATTCTTCTAGGTTTTTTGGAAATCACTTGTTCTACCAATGTAACGGGCACGTGTATCTAATAGAAATAAAGAATTATAAATATGCCTTGTGGGCAAGGAAAGGTACAGAAGGTTAAAACAACAACAAAAAAAATAGCCTTACTGTCAATAAAGTGAAAAGTTATTTTTTTTTTTTAATTCTGATGTAGGTATCATGACTCGTCCTTCACAGAAAACCAGAAAATAAAAATTAATACTTTTTTTCATAGAAAAGTGTTCATCTTCAGCAAATCTTTAAGCTCTCATTAATTTGTGTGTCCCTATCCAGGAAATACCTGCTCAACAACATAAACTTTATTTTCAGAGTAAGTAACACATACTAGGAATGGTGGATTTCTGAAAACCAAATTAAAATCCACTCTTCAGCCAGAGGAAGTTTACCTATGGAATAATTGGTGTTGAGGATAGAGCTGCAATGAGCACATACAGAATGGATTGATCCCCTGCTCTGTGTCTTCAAAGCCACCTCCATGGATTTTTGAGAGTTGATGACACTGGAGTCCTTGGTATCCTGCCTGCGAAATGTTCACAGGGAGAGGAGGAGAAGTGGATTAGCAGAAAGGTGAACATATTGGGACAAAGATGAGGGTGGGGACAGAACATTCTGTGGGGCTCCTTGCTTTCTCTGACAGATGTAAGGGACTGGACACAATAGGATTAGCTCTCAAAACACGTGCAGTTGTGTGTATGTGTGTGTGTCTGTGCATGCAGCCTTAGGAGGGAATTGAGAAGGACAATGAATTTTATTTAAGAACTGCCTTTTGCAGAGGGAGGAATGAAATCTATTTCATCAGAGTCACCCTCTTCACAACTCCTCGATGCTTATACAGTTGGCTATTTAACTCTGAGCAGAAAGGAGCAGGAGGGTTGTGTGCAGTCACCAAAGAAAAGGGGGAGGGACTGAATGCAGGTCATTTGCATTCATTCTCCTCCCTCCATAGTTCTTGGGCCAGAGGGCCAATCCCCAGTCCTTCCTTCTTTCTCTGCTGCTTTTTGTAAAGCTCAGAGCTAACCTGTTAGAACCATCTGCTGGGTGAGGAAAATGTAACCAGTGCTCAGTTGCCGACCCACAGCCCAGGAGTCATTGAAGCAGAGAGAAGGGAGGCAACAGGCAGATTTATGGGCAGCAATCTGTTCCCCCCCAACCCTCAGGCCCCTCTGCCAGGAGACAGCTTGATAATCCATCAACCCCACTAATGAATTAATTAGTATTCCCAGTAATCTCGACCCCCAAAGGAGATCGGCCTGTGGGCCCCTAAGGGGACTAGAAACTGCCTTCTTGGACCAGACACTGAAGACCCGCGACCAATGTCAGACATTAGGCCCCAGGGTGCTAAGCTGCAAGCCACAGACCCTGTTGTTAACGATCCCCAGATGTCCCTCCTTTCCACCTTCCCTCGGGAGAGAGCTAGCTTTTGCTGAATTAAAACCAATACCACCAACAAATGGAGTGCAGAGCCATCAATTAGGGACTATGGAGAGAGGACAGTGAAATCCCAGAAAGTGAGGATTCGGACTGCCCATATTCAGGATAAACTTGAGCAAATCCTAAAGCTGCTCTTCAAGGGTTAGTTAGTACAGGTTGGGGTGGAGTAGGGATGGAGGCAGAAGGTGAGGGATGCACTGTCCTTGACCTCTAGAAGATAACTGCTCCAGTAGGGAAATGATATAGGGTCAAAATCAATTGTGAAACAAGTTGAAACAAAGTGATTTGTGAGGTGAATCTCTCCTGAATAAAGATGGGTAAAATAGAGGTGTCAGTTGAGTTTCTGAACACTCTGGAGACTGGCACTTGGGCAATTTAATAACCCTCCCTTACGAATGCAAAATCCTTTAATTCTTTTATAAAACTTTGAGATGCAGTAGTGTGAAGAAAACTTAGGAATAAGAAAACCTGAGTTCTAAATCTTAGTATGCTTCTGACTGTTGGCCATGATGAGTGATCTAGGCTGTCTCAGGTCATCAGTCAATGATTAGGTTGAATTATGATCTCTTAGGTCCCTTCTGATTCTAACAGTCAGTGATGATGACATAATTAAAGGTTACAATCCCCCTTAGAGACTGAATAACACCAGCCCACTCAAAAGTATGCAGTCTTCGAGTCCCCAGGTTTGATAAGGTAACAAACCAGGTTAGTGACAAAAGTGGTTCTAGAAATCGGGTAATAGTAGACTTGGGTGTTCTCTCCACCCAGATTCCTGGTTTTTTGGGGGGAAGGACACTTGACTCAACCTTCTTCCACTCCACTTATTCAAGGCCTATGCATTTGAGCATTCACAATACATACAGAGTGACTCATTTCTGCTGCAAAAAAACCCTGCCTGCTTTTGTTTAAAATCTGTTGGGAAACTTCTGCACCTTTGAAAGCTCTGTACCATCTGCCTCCAGCATCCTGCTCTGCACTTGGTATCCCCAATTCCTAAGAGCAAAGTCCTCTAGGATTCACTCTGGGATTCAATTGAATCCTAACATCGCCATTTATCAACCGTGCAACTTCAGATAAATTATTTATCTCTCAGAGTCTTAGTCTCTTCATCTGCAAATTGAAGGTAATAATGCTTATCCAATAAACTTACTGTGAGGAATATATTAAATTTGCTCTGACGAGTATATGTCTCATTAAATTTGAGATAATGTATGTAAAGTACCTAGTATAGAGTCTGGCACTTAGCAAATTGTTGTTACTATTGGTATTTTGCCTTAAATATTTAAATCTGATTTTTTCATCCCTTAGAAACCAAGAAAAAACTAATATCAGGATGCTCTTATAGAGGTCCTGTCTCTGTGCCTCAATACGAGTATTCTTTTTTTGTAATAATGGCCACACTATATTTATTTCACCAACAAATGTGTTTGATGCACATATACAGCCCTAGGCACTGCCAGATTCGGAGATTCTGAGCTGAATGAGATTCCTAACCAACTTTCAGTACAGTGGCAAAGACAGAAAACCAAATTACATAAATATATAATTCAAAAACTCCACTTCTCCATGTCTTTCCAACATAGTTACATGTATGCTCAAGAAACCACATATAAAGCAGAAGTGTTCACTGTGACATTGTTTTTAATAGTGAAAAAGTACATTCTATTAATACATTAAGTAATCAATATCTAAACAATAAAATGCTATTTAATTTGCAGTGAGTTGGTCTATATATACTAACAGGAAATGTACTTTATGTATTAACATGCTGTGGGGAGAAACATAAAACAATTTGTAGAAATATAGGTTCAATATGATATACTTAATTTTAAAAATGTATACATTAAATAATAGACATATTGTTCACATGCACACACACAAACTGATAACTGTGACTCTTTTTCTCAGGATACTTCAGTACTGAGATTAAATAAATTGAGATTGGGTAGTTATTAAAGGAGATTTTTTTTTTCTTTTTGTACAAGAGAAATTGGTTTCTTTTATATATGAATAATGTATTCCTATATGTTATGAAGGTAAATTGATATTAAATATAATTAAAATATGGTATTTTAAAAATCTCATTCCCTACTCACAGCCAAACTTATTTTCAAAAAGGATCTGATAGCTCCCTAACCTGAACACTGGGGTATATGATGATATAACTCTTTCATGAAAAGTTCACTGTACCGGCTCTTATTGACTCTGCCATCATACCCTCAGCCCCAGGAGC